GGAGGGAGCCGACTGAGGCCCACCCAGGCAAGCAGTGGAAATTAGCCAACGCACAGAGGCTGGTGAGCGGGCAGAAAGTCCGGGCCGGTGGTGAGCCTTCGCAGGGCCGCAGGGAGCAGACGGTCACCTGGCAGGCCTCCAGGGACAGCGCTGCTTTCCCACCGGGACCGGGCATGCAGCACTCTGACAGAGGCCCTAAGTGTCCGATCGTAAAACGAAACCAGAGATGGCCCGGCACAGTTCATGTAGTTACATCATAGCTTTGAAGTCTTTAGGGTTTTTCTAAATGGTTTTTAATGATTCTGGCAGGATGTTGTGTGCTCTCCGAAGCTGGTATAAGATGAGAGAGAGGGAGAGGGACTCATGACCAAAATGGACAGAAGAAAGGCACAGGCAGGCAGATTCAGGCAGCACCAGGCGCCCTCGGCTTAATCTCAGGCTTGGGTCCGAAACGCAGAGCACGAAGAGGAAGCACGGCTCCAGGCATAAGGCTAGAAGCAAAACGGTTCTGCTAAGAAAAGGTGAAGGGCCCGGCCGGGCGTGGCTCAGCGGTTGAGCATCGACCTAGGATCCTAGGCGATCGGGGTTCGATTCCCGGTCAGGGCACATGCCCGGGTTGCGGGCTCGATCAATGACTCTCTCATCATTGATGTTTCTCTCTCTCTCTCTCTCCTTCCTCTCCTCTCTCTGAAATCAATAAAGATATGTTTTTTAAAAAAGAAAAAGAAGAGGTGAAGGGATTGAGAAATACAGATTGGTCGTTACAAAATAGTCATGCGGATGTAAAGTACAGCATAGGAAATACAGTCAATAACATTGTAATAACTACGTATGGTGCCGGGTGGGTACTGGGAATACTGAGGGAACACTGTGTAAAGGTTATGACTGTGTAACCACTATGCTGTGCTCCTGAAACCAACACAGAATAATATTGAAAGTGAACTGTAATTGGAAAAAATTAAAAGAAATTATAAAAAAAAAAAAGGAACACAGAGGTCTCCACTGCTGCAATGTGCTGTCAGGGTGTGTTAATGTTTCCTTCCAGGTTTATCCACCAGGCTGATGTGAGGGACCAGTGAACATCCCACGCTGATCGTTCCTGTACCAGACTCTTGAGGTCCTTCTCTATGTCATCAAGCAAGACGCTCAACGCTGGCTGATTTTATATGCTCAAACGTTTAGTAGCAGTTAAAATCCAATTTTCACCTTGGATTCCTAGAATGTTTTATTTGGTATGGCGAAAATAAATCATCTCTCTCTACCGGGCCTCAAAAAAGGTACCAGGTTTTCATTACAGGACTCAGGCCGCTTCATCCCATGGCTCTGTTGCTGCAGGTCCACAGCCAAGAGCGGCACAAGCCACCCAAATCGATTAAATAGACGGCCACGTAGGCGGCACCACGCCACTGTGTGTTCTTCTCCAAACTGGGTGTGCACAGCCCGAGACCGGGCTGCAAGGGTTGAAGGCAGGCTGGCAGCAGGCACAAAGTCTCCGGGTCACCCCTCTGTGCTTTAACTGTAAAGAGCTTCCAACGTGCGGCCAGAAACTCCACCGAGAGACCTTTGGGGCCACACGCGGGGCTCTCACACGAGACTGCGCAACACCTCCCTGGACGCTGGAAATACCTAGATGAAAAGCAGGGAGAGGAAGGATCCTCTCCTCCACGCCAAAGGGCCGCATGGGAGAGAACCACTCACAGGGGGAGGCCAGAGCTCAGGGGGAAGGGTCTGCTTCTCCATGAGGCACAGTCACATGCACACGGGCTGATGCTGCCTCCCTGCATTTTTATGCCCAGACTGAGGTGAGTTTTACAAGTGAAAAACACAAGTGGAATTTCTCCTCGGTGCGTCATTCACCACATTTTCAGAGAAAGCCAGTTTCTCATTTCAAGGCATACCTTGTGCATAAGCAATCCAGAAGCGTGCTAAAGTACAACCAATGTTTATCTGTTTCAAGTCAGAAAGAAAAATCTATCCATCAAATGAGCACTGGGCTATGGCTCCCCAAGAAGTTCACATGACTTTGGGCTGCAGATTAGGGAACACTATGACTCCACACATCCATGTCAGGACTCAGCCAAGGCATGACCCACCTAAAGCGATGTAAACAGAACGATGAAGGTTCTGGCAACCAGGTCCCATGAGTATCAATTAAAGAAAGTAGAAATAATAAGAATGCAAGCAGCCACAACGGCAGAGTTTAGTCAGGTATGTTACACTTGTTGCTTGAAGTTAGTGGCATGAGGAAGGTATTAGCAGGACTCAAGGCTGCAAATGACAGGAAGAGAGGATTCAACTCATTAAGCAGGAGGCCTTTTCAACATTTAACACTCAACAATGGAAGACACTGACATCTTCCCTGGAGCAGAGGCTGAAAGAGCCTCTCTCAAGAATTCCCAGGATATAAAGCCGGTGAATTCTACAGAGTCCGCCAGGTCTAGGGTTCTATGCTTAATGTATACTGGTACCTACGATATCCTCACTCCAGGAATGTTTGCTGCACTGGGCCAGGTTCTGGGGAAGGAAGATCCAACCATGGAAAAAAGAAAGGAGACCTGGATCTGAATCCCAGTTCTCTCTGATGAGCAGCGAGATGTTTGACAGAGTCCAGCCTCTCTGTGCTGGTAATGGAACAATAATCCCAACTTCAAAGGATTGTAGTTGACACATAAAATGACACATGCCAAGCAGGGCTGCTTTTACTCCTCTGTGGGGACTGGAAAAAGGTGACCCTTTGAGATGTGTTCTGCACTAGGACATAGCATTTGGTAAGCAGCATAGAGGCTAGATCCCCATTTGCCTCCTCAGCCGGTGTGTGGTGTACATATAACCTATAAGGTGTTAACGTGCTGGCCGTCTGCTAGGCCCTCAGGACACGTGAAAAGGGTCCAGATATTTCACTAGTGAAAGGGCCACGCCATGAAGATGGCCACCATACCAAGGACTACAATTTAGTCTCACCAATGAACGCATTTAAAAAATGATAATATTGAAATACTC